AACGTTATTAGACTTATTTAATATCCCTTAATTTAGATTACAATTTTCGGCTATAATTCTATTACGACCAACTTAGGGCACATGACTGAATTTGTTTAAGATCTCTTTTTGAACATATTAAAAGTAACTACAGTGATGATTATTCATAATTATTTTGTGCCGTTTTTTAATCATAAGTGATGTTTAACCATGTGTTTTGTTTTTGCGTCTTTTTTTAACATCAGGATGTTAGCGTGTTCGACTATTTTTTTCCTTATTTTTATTTAATTTATTGACATCATCCACTTTTTCTTCACACTTCATCATCTTCTTTACCCATGTTTTTATTGTTCTCCACTATTTTAGCCCCGCCATGTTTTTCTCTCTAGGCGACACATGTCCCTCTTACTGCTCCCCTCTCTTCCACTTCCTACCAAAAGTAGTTCGATAAGACTCGTTCAAATATTTGCAAAGTTGTTCGAATAATTGCAAATTGTTGATTATTCATAGGTATTATGTTCCTTTTTCTAATCGCATGTGGTTTTGTCTCTTTTGTTTACTTACCATCAGGATGTTAGGGTGTTTTATGCCTTTAGACCTTAATTTATTTTATTGACATTATTCATTTTTTCTTATTTTGGTGTTTTTTCTTCGCTCTTTAACCATGTTTTTATTACTCTCCACTTAGAGGGTGTTTGGCTTATCTTTTGAGAGGCCAAAAGTCCTTTTTGGAAAAGATAAAAGGTAAAAGATGTTTGGTAAAAGCATTTTAAAAGAAACTTTTGAATTTTGAATATAAGGAAAACTGACTTTTTGGAAAAGTCAGAAAACCTAACTTTTTGAAACTTTTCCAAAAAGGACTTTTGACCTCTCAAAAGATAAGTCAAACACCCCCTTATTTGGCCCCGTCATGTTTTTCTCTCTTGGTTACACATGTCCCTCTCGATCGCTTCCCCCTCTTCAACCTCTTGCCAAAAGTGGTTCGATAAGACTTGGGCATAGTTGTTCAAAACTTCAAATATTTTTCAATTTTATTTATCAATTTAGGCTAGTTTGACGTATTAGATGAAAAGCTAGTTGTTAACTGAAAAACTAACTGATAGCTGAAAAATTAGTTGTTAGATAAAAAGCTAGTTGGTGACTGAAAAACTAGTTGATAAAAAATAAGGTTTGGTAAGACTAAGTGAAAGATATAAAATGACATAAAATCACAGTTAAAATAATGTTTTCTATAATTATTTAAAGGGTATACTTGTAAAAAAAATAAAAACTCTTGAAAAACTAGTCTAAGTAGTTTTTTAAAAGTTAGCTTATAAACTATTTTTGATTTACCAAACATGACAACTTAAAAAAACTGGAAAAATAAACTAGTTTATCAGCTAGTTATGGCGCGACACAGTCTTAATAAAGTTTGACATGCAAAAAAAATTAAATACTAATGTTATGCTTTTCAAACAAACAGTTAACAACATATGTTAAAATATATATATATATATATATATATATATATATATATATATATATATATATATATATATATATATATATGTGTGTGGAATAATACGTGACAACTTAATGAAATAGATCTCTCGTTTGCTTGGATTGTGCATTGAGGTACTTTACTAAGTTATTTCACCATAATGATTTATGTATATATTTAATATTGTACATATAAAAGTAAAAACCCAAGGATAAAGGGTGTAAATCGTAAAACATACATACATTATCATATAATTAAGGTTTACATCTATTAGTCCCCTTTACGTTCAACAGTAAAAGCTAAGACGTGAAGACTAACTAAATAATCGAAGAGTACTTTGAGAAAGGCCGTTGTTGAAAATATACTTGTTTTGGTATTTGGTACTAGGAAGTATGATGGCACATGTAATATGTATACCTTGCATTATGCCACTTTCTTCCAATCAAAGTTGTTAAGATCGGGATTCTATGTATGATTGTTTTTGGGCTTGCAAGGTTGGGATGCTAAGATCCCATAAAATAAAACATAATTTTAATTTATATTTTAAAACATAAAAAATATCTCAAATATTCAGTTTTCTGTTCAAAAGATATAAAAACTTCAAACATTAGTCACAACTCACAATACAAAATGCTAAACAATAAACATATGAATGATAAAATACATAAAGACAGGCCCGGCCCTGACGGTGGGCAATTCGGACGACCGCCCAATGCCTATGACTCTAAGGGACCTAAAATTTCTGAAATATATAGTATATGCATAAATAAATAAAAAATTATGTAAATGTGGAACATGTTTTGAGATAACCTCTTATTCTTTTATGGACTCTGGAACACGTTTTGAGAAGTAAATGTTATGCCACCATTTCCGTTTAGGGTGTATTTCACGAATCCACATCAGGCAAGAACCAGTTAATCAAATCCAAACCTTGTGAATCGTAATCATCGCCTAGTGAATCGACATCAAAAGAACGATTCATAATCAGTCATACAATTGGTTCTGAGTTCTAAGTTCCTTCAAAGTATCGGACTTCAGTTCATCAATCATCACACTTTGTGTTTCTGATTTGATATTTTGATTTCTCATTCTCATAGTCTCATACCATATTTCAGATTATACACACATCTATCGATACCTCATACTTGTCGGTTGTCGATTGAATGTAAAATTGTAAAGCTCCCGACGAACCGACGATCAATAGGAGATAAAAAAATAAGGTTAGCTACAGATTATTTTTGTTTTTCCCTAATTCTTTTGTTTCTTGGTTATTCTCAGTTTCTGATTTAATTTCTTATTCACATTCCTTATAGTTTTGTTTTCTAATTTTGTTTGCGTCTCATATTTCTGATTGGACCGTCGATTCTTTATAGATTCTACCAAAGTTTTAGATTTTTTTACTTAGCATGGTAATATCTTTCTAGATATCTGATTCCATGGTTGTAGAACTCGCTACTCGGTATCTGTTCGGCCGACTACCAAGTAGCGAGTACTCGGGGCGTACTCGGATTCGACAATTCATGTAGAAATATAAATATATGACAAAATTAGATATATGTGAATACACAAAAACTGAAAAACACACAATGGTCTCACTTCGTGAATAAATACTGAAAATTTAAGAGAGATATATATGTAATAATAATAACATGTATGTGTGTTGAATAATAAACAATTACGTATATTATACATATTAATCACCGAGTTTGTCAAGTTTTATAACACTGCTCCTTCAATAAAGGGTTGATTGAGGAGTACTTGGATTCTATAACTCGCATCGGTAAAGGGTCGAGTAGGGTGTACTCGGACGAGTAATCAACCAACTCGGTGAGTTTTACAACATTGTCTGATTCAATTCAAAAGTTAAATCTAGTTCTAATTTTTTTTTGATGTTTGCTGTTTTTGATGTTAATTTTTATTCACATTCTTGGTCCTGATATATAATCAAATGCTGAAAGCTTATACCTTTTTATTTTATTTTGTTTGTGTCTCAAGATTTCTGGAGACCAGACTTGGGTCGATTCTTTATATCTTCTACCAACGTTTCATATTTTTTACTTAACATGGTAATATTTTTATAGATATATGATTTAGAACTCAAAAGTTTAAATCTAATTCTAAATTTTTTGATGTTTGACTGTTTGTTTCTGAATTTATTTTGCAGTTGTAGCTTGCTTTGAATCGAATATGATATTAGGCTTCTACGACATAGAGACATAAATGTTGAACGGTTTGGTAATATTATGTACAGAGAAAATATATGTTAGATAAAATTGATTTTGATAATATTATTAATAATTTTGCATATAAAAATGCTAGAAAAAATATTTTTCTGTTGTTCTTGTAATGTTGTGTTTGCATATTGTTTTTTATATTAATAGTGAATTTTTTTAACTTTGTAATGGTGTGTTTATTTTCTAATATATATATATATATATATATATATATATATATATATATATATATATATATGACTTTGGGGCCCATTTTTTTTTTCGTCCTGGGCGCACTATATGTTTGGACCGAGCCTGCATAAATTGGTAAATTCATTTTTTTCAAAAAAAAAAAAATTTTAAAAATCAAGGGAAGGTAGAATCGGATCGGATCTCGGTCCTACCTACAATTCTACGATCCTACATGCGATCCTACCCCAAATACGATCCGACTCGTTTTTCATACCTAGGATCGTACGATCCTACGATCAAGATCACGATTTTGACAACCTTGTCCCGAACAAAGTGAGCATCTATCTCGATGCTTTTTATTTTCATCTGTTTATGTTGAATCAATATACATGGCATAAAAATAACGATATTGTCACAATACACTATAGTTACTTCGTGAGAGGGACCTTTAGTTTCAACCAATGTTTTAAAAATAAATTCAAGCCGACCAGTCAAACCGGCTAGATCGGGAATCGGAGACGAGAATGGTTCAATAACACCCAGTTCTATGTCAATTTCTATAGCGGATCGAACTGGTCGGTTTCTTCAAAAACCGGGTTGAAGCAGTATAATAGAACCAGGAAAAAATCGTTTGAACCGGTTATTGGACTTGTATATTTGGACTTCACTTAGTCCGTTAAAAAAACAACTCACTAATATATTAATTAACATCCCGACCTTTCTCAAAATATATATATACATATATATGTCACATTCCAACCTTGGATGATCAATAACTTACTAATTAAGTATCTAGAAAGATCTCATACGTGTTTGAGAATATGTAATTAACACGCTGCTTTCGTTTTCAATGATAACGGTAAGAAACGAATTCCACCATAAACCCATTAAGGAGGAATATATATGTTCGACCTGTATGAAAAGGTGTAGGACACAAACTACTGGATTCTCTCCAAACCATCGAAAAGCATCCTGATTTTTAAATTAACCTTGCAACACGTACGTGACTATATATTATTGTGTCAAGTTTTTGTACTATATAAGAAGACACTACATCGTTATCAATTCTTCATATCCATAAACATAGCCACATCCAGCAAACAATTTGCACACACAATCTTTACACCTAGCTAAGAATGGCTGGTAAGATGTACGTGTCTAAAGGCTACTCGATCTACACCTATATTCCAGACCTACATGGTGGTTATGATCATGGGTCAAAAGACCCCATGAACGACTATATTGGTTCAGGTTCCCCTTCAAAAGTCTACGTTCATTCCCCAACCATGTCGAGTAGTTCAAGCTCATCCAAATTCAACAATGGAGAAGTTTGGACCATGAAAACTAACAACATTTCAGATGAAGCCCATTCAAAACTAGGTGCAACACATCATCATGCTCTTACAACTTTGACTGATAATACGAAAGAACCCTCGGGTTTTCAAGATTCTGTGAATCATTCTCCATTGTTAGACCTACATCAAAGAGGGTTTCTTGATGAACTTTCTACCCATGCACAAACACTGGAGACAGAAAAGCGATATGGACGACCTACATTTGTTGCTAAAGCTAATGACATATACAAGAAGCGCTATCAATGGTTATGATTGGTCACACATCTCGAAAAACAAATGTGTTCGGATTTTTTAGTAGTAGGTCCTAAGTGACCATAACTCTATGCTTTTAACTTTTTAATGTTGTATTTTGAAACTTTTCTAGGTCTGGTTTCAATCTTATGTTCTATGATTCATTTCTAGGTGTGGTTTCAATCTTATGTTCTATGATTCATGTACTAGGAAACGTGTTTTATAATATGATAACAAAATTGTGCCACTTATGTATGCATGGTTTGAAAATAATGTTATATCTACAAAAAACCACCAACAAAGGAAAATCTCTTTTTTTTAACGGCAAACTTATCTCTACTCCTAAATTACTACTAGGGGGTGTTTGGGATTATTTTTTGATCTTAAAAGTTTAGCTTTTGAGAAAGCAAAAGTCAAAAGTTGTTTTAAAAAGGTGTTTGGGTTGCATTTCTTAACTTTTCAGGGTGATTTAGCTTTAAAGACTAAGTTTGCGTTTAGTTACGGAAAAACAGTTTTCATTTTCTGTTTTTTGTTTTCCCTTTTCAGTTTTCGTTTTCCGTTTCCGGTTTTCATTGGAAAATTTAGAAAACGCGTTTAGTTAAAACTTATTTATTTTTCATTTTCAGTTTTAGAAAATTAGAAAACGTGTTTAGATGTGTATTTTTCTATCGGTTTTCATTTTTAGAAAACGGTAGCGGTGGTAGGGTAGGTGTGGGGACGGTGGTGGTGGTGGGGGCAGCGGCAGGGGGCAGTGGTGGCAGCGGGATGGCAGCGGTGGCGGTGGCGGTGGAAGCTGGGTAGCGGCGGTGGTGGTGATGACAAGCGGTGGTGGTGGCGGCGGTAATTGTGGCAATGGTGGTGATGGCGGCGGTGGTGGTGATGGTGATGGGGTAGTGGTGGTGGTGATAGTGATGGTGATGGTAGGTCGGTGATTGTGGTAGTGGTGTTGGGTGTGTGTGGGTGTGTGGGTGTGGGGTGGGGGTGGGTGTGAGTTTGTGGGTGTGTGTGTGTGTGTGTGTGTTTGTGGGGGTTGGTGTGTGTGTGTGTGTGTTTGTGGGTGTGTGGGTGGGGGTGTGTGTGTGTTTGTGGGGGTGGGGGTGGGTGTGGGTGTGTGGTGTGGGGGTGTGGGGGTGTGTGTGTGTGTGTGTTTGTGGGTGTGTGTGTGTGTGTGTGTGTGTGTGTGTGTGTGTGGTTGGGGGGTGGTGTGTGTGTGTGTTTGTGGGTGTGTGTGTTTGTGGGGGTTGGTGTGTGTGTGTGTGTGTTTGTGGGTGTGTGTGTGTGTATGTGCGTGTGTGTGTTTGTGGGGGTGAGTTTGGGAGTGAATGTAGGTAGGTAGGGGTGTGGTGGGTTGGGAGTGTTAAGGTGAGGGTAGGTAGAGGTGGATGGGGTGGGCGTGGGTGTTTCTATTTCGCCCCCCCTTGGAATTAGAAACCTGTGAATGATTATTGGTTTTCCCCCTTTCCTTCTTCTGTAATTTTAGAGAAAATTTTCATTTTCCGTAAAAAATTTAGAAAAATAGACGAACTAAACGCGTTTCCAAAATTCTCATTTTTCTTGGAAAATTTTTCCGGAAAACGACCAATTTTTCCGCAACTAAACGCACCCTAAAAGTCATACTTTCCTGACTTTTGAAAACTCACATTTTTCTTTTTTACAAAAGTTATTTTGAAAAAAAAAAACTTTTGTATCTCCTCCTAAATATCTTTTTGACTTTTTAGAAAAGTTAAAAGCCAAAAATCATCTTAAAAGTAATCTCAATGAGACTTGAACTGTTGACCTCTCAAAATTGAGAGTCACTTCTTAAGCAAGGCCAAAGGCCCCTCATTTAATTTAGAAATTTTGAAAAGTACATAAATGTTTATTATGATGTTAAACCAAGAACCAAAATAATAAGTAAAGTAATTAATGCTAAATGCGAAAGAGTTTCTATCCTTTGGGACATAAGTGGAAATTATGAGTAATTTATATAGGGGTGAGCATTTGGACCGAACCAATTTTGCAGAAATTTATGCACCTTAGATCAGATCTGTTGAGGTTTACCAGTTGAGGCTTACTAAATCTAGGTCTAGTTTCAGTTTCAGATCCAGTTTCAGATCCAGTTTCGGTTCCAATTCTAGGTCCAGGTCTAGAGGTCCAAATGTTCATATCTAAATTTATGAGTAGTTCAAAAAACTCTCAAAAAGCAAAAGTGTATCTACTACGGTGTCTCCTGCTTTGAGGTTGCCAAATCCATATCTTATATCGGATAACTCACCTTATGCACTTTCAACTTGTGTGATTCGGGTTGGTGGGTGTTGTGTCATATTCGCCACAGTCCATGTAGGCATCATGTCATTTTTACCATATTTTAGCCAAAACTTGTCATTTGTTAGGCATGGGTTGTCACACTTGTCATACTAAATATATATATTATCTTTAACTAATTTAGAAAATAAATACTACAAACATATTATTTTTTAAAAACTTAAATTCCATTAAAACAAACATAGAAATTCAAAAAAAAAAAAAACATCACACTTAAATTTCATTAAAACAAACATAGAAATCCATTATAACGTTGTCCCTTCATATAGAGTTGGTTGATTCTTATCAAATGGTTTTTGGTTAAATCTTCGATTCCATTATCAACAACTCTAGTAATCTTTAATTTTCGGTGTAAACAGTATATAATCTAGTTGATGCTCCACCTAGGATTTCTAGCCAATATTGTTCTTTGATAGCTAAAAATTTGTAAATGTTTTTTAACCAAAAGATCGAACATTGTTCATCATTAGCAGATCACAAGAACTGATTACAAAAACTGATCCTTGTTTCTAGTATATTTTTTTCTTCAGATCTTAATTAGTGGAAATTATAGGCGAATTGAGAGGATAGAGACGATCAATTCATGTGCTCCTTAGTCCTTAGCATATCACAAGAACCCATTACCAAAACTTGAATGCAAGAAAATAAAGAGATTAACCAAACCACATGTGACTTCAAGAAATTAAATAAAACAAACAAAATTATTATTTCAAGGATGGCGGTGATTAAAGAAATCATAAGTGGTTTCATGATTTCGGCTTTTTTGGTGTTGATTTAGACTACTAGGTGTGGGCAACATGTTATTACATGTTATCACACCCAAATTGTCCACCTCATCATCCTAGTCACAAATTGGTGTTATAACACCAAGGGTGGAAATGGGCAACACCAAATAACATGGGATAGCACATACTATTTTCTATTTCTTTTTTTTGGATGTTTTTAATTTCTATTATTCTAATTTGTTTTATTTTTTTATTTACTTAATATATTTCTAATTCGTTTTATTTTTTTAATATATGTCATATATTTATAAAAAAACATATAAATTAATAAAACATAATTTCATTAACTAGAAAATTAAAAATACCATACAAACTTAAAAAAAACATTACAAACTAAAAAAAAAAATTTGAAAAAAAACACACGATAGTCCTAATATTAAAAAAAAAACACTGACAAACTATTCTTCGCCCAAGTATTTGCTTTCGATCTTTGCCTTCATCCTCCGTATCACCTTCGCTCGTCTCGGTGGCAAATTTTCTTCGTTCGTCGTAAGAATCGCCAAATCCTTCGATTTCCGATCTTCTTCGGCTTCTTGACGAAGTAATTCCAAATGCTTCCGTTGCAATTCATATCTTTTATTTGCGATTTCCGTGTGCGCGTCGAATTTTTTTTTCATGTCCTCGTTGTCTCGAAGCCGACTTTCATTCTCCTCCGCATGTCGTTGAGCTCGCTTCACTTTGTCGCGCCCCACCGGTCATCGTGGCGGAGAGATTTCCTCGATGTCGTCAAACTCGTTCAGGATCTCATCGGTGTCCGCGTTGAGGTCGGTGTTCGTGTGTCCGTCGGAAACGTCAACCGAACCCGAACCACGAGACCTCTTCGATTGTTGTTCCAATGATGTTGGCGTTTTCATCCATTTTGGATCTTTCCTCACTATCTCCCATATTTTTTCATACTCAAATACGTGCCCCATTTACAAGTGATATTCCTCCCTCGCGGCTCTAAACACATCAAAATCATTGGCACCACTTTGACGTTGCGAAGAAAGTTTGTTGTATATGGAATTGAATTTGGTGCACTTCCGGCTAATTTGAGTTCATTTTCCACTAAGCATATCATTATTGCAATATGTGTCACCCTTGTTCAAAATCGTGCGGAATTTGACGATTACGGCATCCCAAAAAGCAACTCTCTTCATATCATTCCCCATGGTTGGTTGTTTTGAAGTACCGCACCAAGCCACCGCCAACGCATGCTCTTCCTACGGTGTCCACCATGTTGGAGGTGCTTCTGTTTCATCCGTCCCGACAACAACCTCTTTCCCTTTCTTTTTTGGTCTCCCTTTTCTCCCGATGCTCTCTGACTACCGCCAACTTGCGTTTCGACAACGGGTTCTTGCGTGGGTGTGGGTTGTGTGATGGTTTGGCGCATGGAACCGAATGTGTGAAAAAGGTTTTGTTGTATGTTTGCATTTTGTTGCATAAATGGTGAGGTAGAGAATTGTATTCGGGATAAGGCGGTATTGAAAAAATTGCCGAAATATGGAATTTGTGGTGAGTTTCGGGAGTTTAGAAGGTACATGTATCCCTTGTATCCCGCAAAACCCAATGGAGTGGATGTGTTTGTCTTCGGAGGAGGGGTATTCGGGTTTTGATCCATAGTGGGTATTTTGTTTTGAATGAAATAGAGATAGATATAGATAAATAGAGATAGAGAGGTTTTAGAGTAAAATGATATATATATATATATATATATATATATATATATATATATATATATATATATATATATAAAGTAAATTGAAGAAGTAAATTTTTTTTTTACAATTCCACCGTATACAACAACAGTATTATTACCGTTTTTCAACGGAAAGAAATTGAAACGGTTGAAAATGTACACGTTATGGCTCGTTATCGTGGTAACATCGAATGGCGTAACGCACCTTAACGCGAGCCTGGGGCGGTGTTCCCCGTGATGTCTGCGTTAAGGGT